ATCCAAGGATAAATCTGACTGCCATTCTAGGGTCAGGAAGGAATTTTTTTTCCTAGCTTGTTGCAAAATTGTGCTTCAAACTGGGTTTTTTGCCTTCTTTTGGATCAACAGCAAAAAACAAATGTGAGAAAGGCTGAACTTGATGGACGCAAGTCTCTTTTCAGCTATGTAACTATGTAACGTACACACTCTCACTAACACACACTCTCATTGACATACATTGTAAGTTACACACTCCACTAACATACACACACAGTGTCACTTACACATTCTCACTAACAGTGTCACTTGCACACTCTCATTAACACACACACACTGTCACTTGCACACTCTCACACACACACTGTCACTCAAACACAAACTCACACAACTTTATATAAAGTCACACAGAAATACAGCAATTTAACACACACACACCAATTTACAACCATTCATATAATAAACAATTCCGCTTAGCCTATCTGGGTGATGTTAAGAAGAGAAGGGGACTAGCCTGCAGAATGTTGTCCTTCTTTCTGCTGGGGGAGCTGGAGAGCCGTGCACTCTGAGCACAGGATGCTTCCTGTTCCCCTCAGAAAGCTTCAGGTTTTCACAGACAGGGGCCTGCCGGGATACCAAGTCATGACCCGGCTTTCCCTGCCTGCAGGAAGTCGAATGCTCTGCTCGGGTGCTGGGGTTACAGCAAATCCCGCTCCTTGAGCAGGCAAGCAGGAGAGAGGAGTCCAGTGCGTAGGGACATCGACTTCACTTCCTCCCAGCTTACTCCGCGCGGGGGGGGAGACAGCCGAGGAGAGGAGAGGCAGCCGCTCCCATCATCCCCAGCCACCCTCCTGCAACGAAGAGGTAAGGAAGAGGGGGGTGGCTGATAAATGAGGTGTGTGTGTATATATATATGTGTCTTCATGTATGTATATCTGTTTGTCTGTATGTTGTATATCAGTATGTATGTGTATGGATGCCATTATGTATGTATGTATGTCAGTATGTATTTATGTGTATGTATGTCTGTTTGTATGTCTGTATGTCAGTTTGTATGTATGTCTGTTTGTCACTATGAATGTATGTATGTTTATATGTCAGTATGTATGTCTGTGTGTGTATGTTTATATCTATCAGTATGTATGTCAGTATGCATGTGTGTTAGTATGTATGTGTGTATGTATCTATCTATCTGTGTGTGTATGTCAGTATGTATATATGTCAGTATGTGTGTATGTCAGTATGTATGTATGTGTGTATGTATGTCAGTATGCATGTATGTCTGTGTGTGTATGTCAGTATGTATGTTTGTGTGTGTGTGTGTGTGTGTGTATGTCAGTATGTATATATGTCTGTGTGTGTATGTCAGTATGTATGTGTGTATGTATGTATATATCTATCAGTATGTATGTGTGTATGTATGTATATATCTATCAGTATGTATGTATGTGTGTATGTATGTATATATCTATCAGTATGTATGTGTGTATGTATATATCTATCTATCTGTATGTGTCTGTATGTGTGTGTGTGTGTGTGTCTGTATGTATGTATGCCATTATGTATGTATGTATGTCAGTATGTATTTATGTGTATGTATGTATGTCTGTTTGTCAGTATGTATGTATGTATGTGTGTGTGTCAGTATGTGTGTACGTCAGTGTGTGTCTGTATGTCAGTATATGTGTATCTGTACCTCTTTATGCATCTGTATGTGTCTTTATATGCCTGTATGTGTGTATGTCTGTTTCAGTATTTGTGTCTGTAAGTATGTGTGTATCTTTCTCTGTGTGTGTCTGTGTCCTTTTTTATCTGTGTGTGTGTATTCCTGTGGGTGTGATTTGTAGGCAGGCCCCCGGGGGCCCAGACCTTGAGCTGTGTTACTGGCCCCACAATTTCTGATGGCGGCTCTGGCAGTGTCAATTTAGGAACTTGCCTATACCATTTTCTTTTAAATTTGAAATGATGATGCTTGACCCATGTCTTAATTCTATAGCTTCCTTACCCCAAAACACTCAAATCCTATCCCCCACTACCACAACCTTATCCTAAATGGTAACCGTTATCCTACCCCCTTTCATTACCCAGCTAAGCCAGTTTATGCATGGTGACTAAAACAGGGGTCAGCGCAGCAACCAGTGCCAATCAAATTTAATTTAGATTACGTTTTTATGGTGACCGGAGAATTTCTTTAAAGGGTTTCTCCAATTATCATTACCACAATTTACAATAAATGAGATAATTACACAGGTACAATAGGTAGATGAGGGCCCTGCTAAAACATGCTTATAGTCTAGAGGAGGTGGGGAACAAATAAACAACAGTGCAGGAAGGTTGACAGCCACCAAACAAGGTGGAAAGGTAGCAGAGCTGGAAGTGAGAGGGGAGTGTGGCTATTTAGGAGAGCAAGAGACAGATATGGAAAAGTATATATAAGTTACTCTGGGAGTCCATAAGCATTTCTAAACATATGTATTTTGAAGGACTTCTTGAACAATTGAAGACTGGGGGAGAGTCTGATGGGGGTTAGGCAGGCTGTTCCAAAGGAAGGGAGCTGCCCGCGAGAAGTCCTGCAAGCGTGAGTTAGCAGTAAGGGTGCGAGCAGCGGACTCTGTTCCGGGCTGTGTGATGTCTATTCTGTGCATAAATTATGGCAGGGTGACTGCAAGGGGAAGCTAGATCTCCTTGCCCTCCCACATTGCACTCGCTCCTGCAGCGTTGGTCTTTAAAATTTAAAAAATTCCTTTCCTCCTCCCCACTCGCATGCCCTCCGAGCCCACAATTGATGCAATCACAAGTTAAAACAAAAAAGCAACTTTATTTAAACCATCATTAAAAAGAGAAAATAAATGTATCACACCCTAAAGCATATAGGTAAATATAAAAGTCACACAGGTTCTTACGCTAATAATGAGCTGAAGGTAAAAACAATGTCAAATCCCTCTAAATCTCTAATATATGACTGAGGAAAAGTATGATACTATGAAACTCTTCCAATCAAGGACTTTGTTGCAAATAGTAACCAGTAAATGTTCTCTTTATAATGATGGTTTAAATCAATTTTTTTTTTTTTTTTTAATATACGTTGTGTGGTATAATTTACCTCTATCTTGATTAGCTACCTTAATCTATAATTAGATATGATCTGGATTAATTATGTTGGTCTAAAACCAATATACTGACTAGCTCTCACTTGAGATACACCTTATTGCTACAAGTTAAGCCTTTTCAGGAAGTGTTCAAGGAATTTGTGCAAGTAATATGAAGGGAGGTGCACTAGTGTTGTGTTAACAAAGTGATTTAACTCCTAAATGGCAGAGAATCGAGCAGTGAGACTGCAAGGGCATAATCTATACATCACAACTATAGTGTCCTTTTAAGGATTCTCAGATAGTTGCTAACTTGCTACCTTACCATCTGTGAGATAATAAGAAAATAGGAATTTAATTCCTGTTTTGGCTCAGGTTGATGTGTGAATAGTCATATTCAGGGGAAGTTTGGCCTAGGAGACTAGTACAAACAAATTGCATTTTATTTGTGCACAATATTCACAGATGGATATTCCATTAAGATGACCTGTGCAGCACAAAGGAGCACTCACAAATCTGTGATGTCTTATCTTGCCCAGTGTGTAAAGTTTACCAGAAACACCATACATACTCATTATTGGTCACACAGCCTGTGTGTCTACCAGGAAATATCTTAGAGCGTCAGTCTTGCATAGCATTTTCTGCCTCTTAGTAGTGAGTAGTAGAGGTAGACAGTGGTGCCTGGTGACACCCAGGTAAGAAAATAAACCATTCTAATATGGTTTGAGAACTTACAATGAGGGAAGTGGAGAACCACCTCACTTCTTGCACCATAACCACTATAGTAGGCTGTAGTGGTTATGGTGCTCTGAGGGTTCCTTTAATTGATATTTTTCAAACTGGGAGGCATTGGAATAAATCATAACGTATACTTTGCACAAACTATAAAATAATTTGTTAGTAAGAAATATTATAGAATAACAGATCTCAGCAAGAATATGTGATTAAACTAAAATCCAATAGTAAACTTACTAAGCACCACAAACACCAAGCCTTGTTAAGATATTACTGTATGGAATACTGTGTGTTAGATGCATTTTGTTAGGGTGGCAAACAGAAGTATTGCTATAATTAAAACATTTCATCAAAGTTCTAGGGTGGACCATAAAAACACATCTTGTTTTCGCTGTATTTGAAATACATATTAAAATTATATTGCTTGTTTTCATACACCCTTTAATTATTTAGACATGTGTAATCTTACAATTAATTGGCATGAATTTAGCAAATCCTTTACATAAAATTAAAAAATGTACTCTGATGCATTAAAGCATCAATGGGATACTTGGGAAACTGAAGTGAAAAAAAGGCTTCATATATGATTTCCACACACTCTGTAGAGATGATATTGTTGGTACATTTTATGCAGATCTGATAAATAGTATACACATTAATGATTTATTTTTACTATCAACAAAAAATGATGGATCCCTCCCCTTTCTTTTCTTCTTACTTTTATATTTTTTTATTTTTATTTTAGTTCATTTTTATTTTTCTACTTTTTATTTTGTAAAAAAAAATTCTCTTAATTGTACAATGTTCATTACTTGTTTGTTTTCAAAAATTATATTGTTATGTTTTATCAAAATTTATCAATAAAAAACTATTTGGGAAAAAAAATGTACCTAAATAAATGTATTAAAGCTCTATTTTTCAGGTAGTCCATGGTTCAGGTAGTACATTGCTAGAACAAAAAATGTTAATATCCACTTCCGAAGCACCAAAACTAAATATATTTAGGTTGCCCTAAAAGTAGATTCCCAGATGTGTTATACTATACTAGGTATATTGGCCCTTCTTGCAAAAAATGTGTCTAGCTACAAAATGAACAAGGAATACAGAGTAGACAACCAATAAATGATGTCCTAATTGGGCCAAAATTGGTAAGTAAAATGGCTTGGATGGCTACTGCATTAAAGGAATACTATAGACACCTGAACAACTTTAGCTTAATGAAGCAGTTTTGGTGTATAGAACATGCCCCTGCAGCCTCACTGCTCAATCCTCTGCCATTTAGGAGTTAAATCCCTTTGTTTGTGAACCCTAGTCACACCTCCCTGCATGTGACTTGCACAGCCTTCCATAAACACTTCCTGTAAAGAGAGCCCTATTTAAGCTTTCTTTATTGCAAGTTCTGTTTAATTAAGATTGTCTTATCCCCTGCTATGTTAATAACTTGCTAGATCCTGCAAGAGCCTCCTGTATGTGATTAAAGTTCAATTTGGAGATTGAGATACAATTATTTAAGGTAAATTACATCTGTTTGAAAGTGAAACCAGTTTTTTTTTTTTTCATGCAGGCTCTGTCAATCATTGCCTGGGGGAGGTGTGGCTAGGGCTGCATAAACAGAAACAAAGTGATTTAACTCCTAAATGACAGTGAATTGAGCAGTGAAATTGCAGGGGAATGATCTATATACTAAAACTGCTTTATTTAGCTAAAGTAATTTAGGTGACTATAGTGTTCCTTTAATGATATCACAGAAAACTGGAATGGCTTTGCTTGCCCGAGGGACCTAGGTAACTGCCAAACATATACATTTTAACAATTTGACTCATTATCTTGGGGCTGCTTCAGAGGGCTGTAGTTGTTATGGTGCTTAGACCACCCTTTTTTAAGGTATAGCCTTTAGCAACCTTAAGCAATGCAATAAAAAAGAGAAGCATAGAAGAGTTAGAGTAAATTGAAAACAAGCCTACATCAGAAAATTGGTGCAAATAAAAGTGGATTTGTGGTGGTGATTTGTCTGTAGGAGTCTTTAGCTATAATCTGATTTTTTTGGGGGGATGTGTAATCGCAAAGCTATCTTTGACTCGTTTTAACCATTGATAGGAGAGCATTGAGCAATGCAAGGTAAATAAGTGGTTAAGTCGTGGTAGCACTCTCAGATACATCCTCATATCGGAGAGCAAGCCTGTGGTATTAGGAGGCTATATGCTTTGCAGTATATCCTTTTAGCACTAGGCACAAGTTATTCTTTACAAATAAATGTTCTCCTTTTTCATTAGTTAGTTAGGGTTTTTGTTTTTTGTGTTCTTGTTTTACCTTTTCCCTCAAATCTCCTAGGTTTATGTAGTCATGTGTATTATCACTACTACTGTTAGTGTTACAGATGCCGCCATTGCTACTGTGACCGACAGTAGGGGAGTGCACAGGACAGTGCTGCCCTCCTGCCGGTCTCTGTATTTAGCGTGGCCGATCGGAACCATTGGTACAGGAGTCTCTGTTTCCCTCTACCTGCTCTGACACTTGCCATGCATGGAGAGCAAGTACAGAGGGGGGATCCGGTGGTTTATTGAGACACATGAGGGGTTATTGAGACATACATGGGAGGGTCTGGGGGGTACTGAGTCATACATGGAAGGGCCTGGGAGGCTACAGAGACACACCTGGAATTACCTCAGGGGTATTAACACTCATGGAAGGGCCTGGGAGGGGCATTGAGACACACATGGAAGGGCTTGGGAGGGGTATTGAGACACACATGGAAGGGCCTGGAGGGGGTATCGAGACACACATGGAAGGGCCTGGGGGGTATTAAGACACACATGGGCCTGGGGTTGAGTATTAAGACACACATTGAAGTCTGGGTGCGTATTGAGACACACATAGAAGGGCCTGGGGGGGTATTGACCCTCACATGGGAAGGCCTGGAGGGGTATTGAGATACACATAAAAGGGCCTAGGTTGATATTGATGCACTTGGAAGGGACAGGTTGTGGCTATTGAGACGCATGGAATGGCTTGGGGGGGGGGGGGTTAAGACACATGGATGAGACTGGGGGCAAATTAATACACATGGAATGCTTTTGAGAGAGGGGGAATTGAGACACATGGAGGGAACTGGTGAGGGGGGTTGTCTGTGTGTGTGTGTCAGTATGTCTGTCAGTTGCTGTCAGTGTGTGTGTTAGTTTGTCTGTATGTGTCAGTATGTCTCTGTGTGTCAGTATGTCTGTGTGTGTCAATATGTCTGTCAGTGTCTGTGTGTGTGTGTCAGTATGTCTGTCAGGGTGTGTGTGTGTCAGTATGTCTGTCAGTGTGTGTCAGTATGTCTGTGTGCGTGTGTGTGTCAATTTGTCTGTCTCTATATGTGCCAGTGTGTTAGTGTTAGTGTGTGTATATGTGCTTGTATCTGTATGAAGTCTGTGTGTGCATCTGTATGTTGTCTTTGTGTGTTTCGGTGTATCTATATGTATGTCTGTGTATCTGTGTGTCAGTGTGTATTTGTGCCTGTATATCTACATGTGTGCCAGCAGGCCCGGACTGGCCATCGGGCACACCGGGCAAATGCCCGGTGGGCCGCGGTGTCCGTGGGGCCGAGGCCGGCAGGGGAGGTCCCAGGATCTCCCCTGCCGGTCTATGCAGGGCCGGCACTCTCCTAGCGCCGGCCCCGCTGTCTGCCACGACGGGCCGGTGGGGAGATCAAAGATCTCCCTCACCGGCCCACATGCGGCCGCCGGCGGGGAGGGAGGGAGCCAGCCAGCCAGGCTGGAGAGAGGACCCGGCGGAGCTCTAATTTGCGGCTCCGCCGGGATCCTCTCGCGAGATCCGGCGCGTTGCCATGGCAACGACCGGATCTCACGAGGACCACCAGGGAACACTGCCTCCCCGCCTCCAGTCCCAGCGTGCCGGTCCCCCCCCTCCCAGGCTAAAGGTAAGAAGGGAGGGGGGGGAATAATACCTGTTTTTTTTTTATTATTTACCCCCCCTACATACACACAATAACATTTATACAGCACTCTCACACCCATCACACACAGCACTCTCTCACACCCATCACACACAGCACTCTCACACACACACAGCACTCTCTCTCACACAGCACTCTCACACCCATCACACACAGCACTCTCACACCCATCACACACAGCACTCTCACACATCACACAGCACTCTCTCTCACACAGCACTCTCACACCCATCACACACAGCACTTTAACACACACAGCACTCTCTCACACCCATCACACTCACAGCACTCTCACAGAGCACTCACACACCCATCACACTCACATCACTCTCACAGAGCACTCACACACACACAACACTCTCACAGCACTCTCACAGAGCACTCACACACACAACACTCTCACAGCACTCTCACACCCATCACACACAGCACTCTCACACAGCACTCTCACACCCATCACTCTCACAGAGCACTCACACACACACAGCACTCTCACACCCATCTCACATACCCATCTCACACAGCACACTCACATCCATCACTCACACACAGCATTCTCACACCCATCACTCACACACGGCATTCTCCCATCCATCACTCACACACAGCATTCTCACACCCTTCACTCACACACGGCACTCTCACACCCATCACTCACACACGGCACTCTCACACCCATCACACACCGCACTCTCACACACACATACTGCACCCCTCACATACACACAGAACCCCCCCAACACACTGCACCACAAACATACACAATACTTCCAAATATATATATATATATATATATATATATAATGTATGTATACACGCACACACTACACTCTTAAAGGACCACTCTAGCCACCCAGACCACTTCAGCTTAATGAAGTGGTCTTGGTGCCAGGTCCTTCTAGGGTTAACCCATTGTTTTATAAACATAGCAGTTTCAGAGAAACTGCTATGTTTATCAATGGGTTAAGCCTTCCCCCAAAGCCTCTAGCAGCGGTCTCATTGACAGCCGCTAGTGGTGCTTGCGTGCTTTTCACTGTGAAAATCACAGTGAGAGCATGCAAGCATCCATAGGAAAGCATTATAAATGCTTTCCTATGCGACCGGCTGAATGCGCGTGCAGCTCTTGCCGCGTGTGCGCATTCAGCCGACGGGGCGGATCGGAGGACGAGAGCTCCCCGCCCGGCGCTGGAAAAAGGTAAGTTTTAACCCCTTTCCAGAGCCGGGCGGGAGGGGGTCCCTGAGGGTGGGGGCACCCTCAGGGCACTATAGTGCCAGGAAAACGAGTATGTTTTCCTGGCACTATAGTGGTCCTTTAACATACACACTCTGGATCCCCTATACACACACTAGATTCCTTGTAAGCAAACACATACTACACCCCTAAACACACACACACTATAGCCTGTATGCACACACTTGCTATATCCCCAATACACACATTCTCTACAGCCCATAGCCACATATGCATCACATTACACCACAAACACAACACGACTAAAACCGACCTTATTACACAATACCACACCACGACCAGCTCACTCTACACACACGCAATACCACAAGCAGGCTCCAAACACATGCACAATACTCTTTCCTGGCCTTTTGTCTCCTGGTATCCATTTATAGACACCAGAGACAAGTTGCAAGGAAACACAGTGCAAGCATGTTATTAAATTTGCTTGCACTGTGCAAAACAAATACAGGACTTTTTTCTCATGCTAGAGCTCTTCAGCAGAGCTCTGCGCATGGTCTGCCCTGGAAGAGCATTGAACCAACATGCTCACTTTGAGAGGAGGCGTGTCTGTCATTGGTGACAAAACACACCTCCTCTGCCCCGCCCCCTTTTTAGTGGGCCGCTGTGTTAAAAAAATGCCCGGGCCGAATTTTTCTCCCAGTCCGGCCCTGTGTGCCAGTGTGTATATCTGTGTGTCTGCATGTGTTTCAGTGTGTATATATTTCTGTGTGTGTGTGTGTATATGTGCATACATCTCAGCATTCACACACTAACACTACACACAAATACACCCCTGCATTCAAACTTCATCACTACGTACAAACACGTGTCTGTGTTGCACACCAAAATTATATGTAAATACATCCCTGCATTCAAAAACCAACACTACACATAAATAAATGCTTGCAATCACGCCAACACCACATATTATTATTATTTTATTATTTATATAGTGCAATCAGATTCCGTAGTGCTGTACAATGGGTGGACTGACAGACATGTAATTGTAACTAGACAACTGGACGTACAGGATCAGAGGGGGTGGAGTAGCCTGCTCAATGAGCTTACATTCTAGAGGGAGTGGGGTATAGTAACACAAAGGGTAAAAGTAGGGGTACGAAGTAGGTTGTTAGAAAATAATTCACTGAGGGCTTAGTAGGTTATTTTTCACAGTTGCAGGAGAGGAGTCATGAGGGGTGGGGGATAAAAACATCCTAATAGTTTAATTGATTTGCTTTCTTGAAGAAGTAAGTTTTCAATGATTTAGTGAATGAGTGGAGACTGGGTGAAAGTCTTACGGAGAAGGGAAGGGAGTTCCACAGAAGAGGTGCAGCCCTTATTCCTTATTCCATACA